CAAGACTCGCTACATGATGGCTTTTACCCCCATTAATTTTAGATAACAGGGAATTTGTGTGTGTGTGTGTGTGTGTATATATATATATGTCTCCATTTACTCCTGAGGATACATTCCAAGACCCCCAGGGGATACCTGAAACCTCGGACCAGACCGGACCCTATACACATATACTGTGTTTTTCCCTATAGGTGCATACCTGTGATGCAGTTTCATGTATACAGTGGCATAGGAAGAGATTGACAGCCAGGACTGACAATAAAGTCCGATTACAACAGTATACTCTAATGGAAGTGTGTGAATGCGGGCTCTCTGACAGGGCTGATTGCTCAGCCGTCTCCCCGAGGTGGGGTGAGATGATAAATTGCTTTATTAAGTCTAATAGTCTCACCTTCTCACGGAAGGAAGACTTGACGCTGCCCTTTGGCGTGTCGGAATTGCCGCACCCGGGCGTCACTAAGTAGAACAGTGGCTGGAGCAGGAGCGCGCGGTGCCGCGGCCGCTGATCTGACCCCTGAGCGGGCTGCTGTGCCCGACGGATGGGTGGGGCTCTCCCGCTGGACAGAGGGACGGTGCACGTCCGAGCGGGACAGCGTGAGACCCCGTCATGCCGGCTCGGGACAGAGTGCAATGCAACGGTTATCAAGGTTTTATTTGGGGAATTTTTCATGTAAAATTTTCAGAACATGGTTGACCATAGGTAACTGAAACCACAGGTAAGGGGTGGGCCACTGTATCTTCCATTTGACATGACGATGACCTGAGTTTGAAATAACACAGACTTGAGACTTGAGGCTGTGGAGGAAAACTGTTTTTTAAAGAGAAATGGAAAGTGATATACAAGGTTGCATCCCCTCCCCGCCCCCCATGAACATGGCAGTCCATGTCATGTGTAAACGGGTCACCCATTCTGCAGGCAGACTAAGGGACAAGGTGTCTCAGTGGAAGTGGAGTGCATGGCAGGTCTGTATGTAAGTTTTGAGAAGTAGCCATCTCTTGTCTACAGCAACAGTATCCGAGGGCCCCTGTTTCTCCTCTCTTTGCCATCACTGGTTATTGTCTTTTCTTCTAATAACGGCCTTCCGAGTGGGTAAGAAGTGATGCTTTATCACCTTTAAGTTCTGTCTCGTGTGGCCGCCGTTGCTGCACCTGTTGATCGGTGTGTGGTCCGTGGCGGTGGCATTTCCTGCGGCGGAACGGCAGTCCCTTAGCTGCAGCTGAGTCTTTGTAAGTGGCACCGCTTCACCGTAGTAAAGCTTTGCTCATGAATGGAGCGCGGAAGCTGTCTCTGGGCTTGCCATTTGCCCAAGATCGGTCTAGGAGACATCGTTCAGTATGAAGAGCCCAAGTCATCCCTTTGTGTGATGATGACATTTGACACAAAGCAGTCTCAGGCCACCCAGGTGTATCGAATGGGCCAAAACTCACCGCAGTTAAATGAGCTCTAATCAGATTCATGGATGTGTGTGGGGGGCGGGGAACAGTGTCAGAAGGGACGTTGTTCCTCTCTCACAGAGTGTTTGGCTTTTGGCCTGCCCTTTGCTGCTTTTTGTTTTCTTTAAACTAATGAGCACCATTGAGGACCACTATAAACATCAATCAACACCTGCTTTTGTTTTGTTTGTTTTTGAAATTTTTATGATTTCTTGAGTCAAACATACGTGACTGTTCCTTGTTCTGTCTCTGAAACATACTTTTTTTAAAGCATTTTTTTTCTTTATTGATTTTAGAGAGAAAGGAAGGGATAAGGAGAGAGAGAGAGAAACATCGATGAGAGAGAATATCGATTGGCTGCCTCCTGAATGCTCCCCACGGGGATCGGGCCCACAACCCGGGCATGTGCCCTGACCGGGAATCGAACCTGTGACCTCTTGGTGCGTGGGTCGATGCTCAACCACTGAGCCACACTAGTCGAGTCTGAAACATACTTTTGACAGGTGGCCAAAACTCGCCTTAATTGCCATTTCGTGTACTTCCCTAGGTAAGCTGGGTGTGTGATATGGGTCAGTAGGCGGAGCCGCTCAATTTTAAAGCCACATCACGTGAGAAGCGTTACTAGGCCACGCCTGTGGTCTTTATTGTTTTTGTCCTCCCACATCATCACCTAGTGTGATCGGTGCATTCCACACTTCACCCTTCACTGGGGGCAGCATAAGCATGTCACAGGGAGGACGAGAGGAAGGCGATTTTATGCTTAGGAAATAACTGAATGAGGAGTTACCTGGTGACTTTAAGCTCAGGACGGCTTCCGACCTCAGAACCTCTCATTTGGTTATTTGGTAGAGGGGCCACCCAAGTCTTTGAACATGAGGCTCCATCTCAGGGTCTTTTTTTTTTTTTAATCCTTACCTGAGGACATTTTTCCATGTATGTTCAGGTAGAGTGGGAGGGGGAGAGAGGAACAGAGGGAGAGAGAGAAACATCGATGTGAAAGGGACACATTGAGTGGCTGCCACCCGCACGACCAACCAGGGCCGGGGACAAACTGCATCCGAGGTACGTGCCCTTAGCGGGAACCGAGCCAGGTCTCTCTGGACCGCAGGCCAATGCTCTAACCGCTGAGCCAAACCGGCCAGGGCCATCTCAGGGTCTTATTGGCCCACCTGTGCTTGCTTAAGCAAAGGCTTCTTAAAGGGCCCAGGGTCCAGCTCCAGGACCCGGTGCGGAGCAGGAGGAACCCGCATGACACGCGTCCACACTTCCTCAGCGGGGTGCTGCCTTAACGTTGCTTCCTCCGGGCCAAGGCCAGACAGCTGTTCTCTGGAAGCAGACTCTCTGACAGGTACCACCCCGGCCCCTCGCCCTCCCCCCAATGCCCCTTGCTCCCCATAATGGTGAGATGAAGACCTTTAGAATTCCAAATAAGAGGGGTAAGAACCGTAGCTCCTAATCTTCAGCCTGAGGAAAGAAAGTCTGTGCTGCCCAACCTCCGGCTCTACCCAGCACCTTCTCTTGTTTGACTGAGTCTTTTCCTCGCTTTTCAACCACGCTAGCAAGACTTCTCGAACGACTGCATCAGATTGTCTTACACGATAGCGTTACCCAATTTCGTTTGGAACTGGAAACCAAAGGTCAAGGCCAGCCGTCGGTGATTTGGGACCTCTGGCCCTTGCTCACTTTCGGGGACAGCCTTTCCCTGGCCGATGCTGGGGTCAGCCCGCTCCTCTTCCCGCTGCCCCGCGCTGGAGGTGGCGTCGGGTGGCTCGCCCAGCTCGCTCTCCTTCAGGCCGTCACGCCGGCATGGGCTGGGCTTTATCTTCCTTTGGAGATCATCCAGCCTGAATCTCGTCTGTGGACAGGCCTACAGGGTCTGGGTCCTTCAGGTGACCCGTATGGGAATGGCTCTCTGGAAACACAGGGCCCTTCTCTCCACGCCTGACGGGTCTTCTGGATGAGGCTTTCCTGGAAGGTCGGGCTCCGAGGCAGGCTGGGAAGACGAATTTGGGGGTAGGGGGTGGGGCTTTTTGCTGCCTTGTAAAGTATACTGTGTAGTGAGAGCCTGGTTCTTCTTATGGCAAAGTGGATATGAGATTTTTTGAGGCGTATAATGGTCATCCTTGCAGTTGGAGACGTGTAATTGCACAGATGGGTACATGGGGACAGAAAGGACAAAGAACGAACGGTCGTTCCAAAGGGGTTTGATAGATGTGGGTTTTCGTAGTGAATGCAGAGATGGAGTGAAGAAAGGAAAACAGAGATGAAAGACCCCCGAATGTTTGAATGATTACGTAGGGAAGGAGAATGTTTATTTTCCCTTCACAACACCATGTCCGTAAGAAACGCTGGAGAGGCATGATGCTCCTGGGAGCCTTTTCCTGCAGTAGCTTCCTGTCCTCCTTCCGGTGCATGGACGATGGCTGTGTGCCTGCAGAAAGGGAGCCGATGAGACTGCTCTGTGCCATCGCGGTGCTGCTTTACTACTCATCCTTAGAGTGCTGCAATGGATGCGCGTTCGGGGGGCACAGCGGGAGGGCCGTGATCTGGGGCTGGTAGGAGCTGAGTGCCTTTGGTGCTTCCCAGGCTGCCTCGGGCTCCCTCCTCTGCCGGTCACACCCACCTCCTCCTGCCCCGATGTGTATGTCAGGCTGTGAACAAAAACCCCTCAGTCAGGGCATCTCTGCTTCTAAAGTGATGCTCTGAATTTTTAGAGATCTTCTGTTGTCATGTCCCTATGGGTGGTCCCCTCACATGTCCAACTAAGCCTGCTCCATCCAAGCCTGCATTTGCTTTCTATAAAACTATACTTTTACTGTGACATTATATTATGACCACCTTAAAAGATAACTATGTAAAAAGAAAACAGTCAACTTTACAAGGCAGTAGTTATCCTACTTCCTGGACTCAGCTTAACCGTATCTTCACTCACTGGGCTTCATCCATCTCTCTCTCTCTTACTCTTTCTCTCTCCTCTTTTTGCTCTTCCCTCTGACTCTTTCTCTCGTTATATATTTATAGGAAACAGGCAGAAGCATGATGATGTGAGGGTGTTCCCCAGCCTTTCTTCCTTTCAAAGGGCTGTTCTCTGTAGACTGGGTTTGTGTCTTAATGAGTCTCTCAAGTTCAGAATTTTGCTAAGGAAGTTCTGTAACCCACATTTAGGGGTACCCATATGCTATTTATAGGTATAAACGATAATTTATGTCACCTACACAGTGTAACATTTATTAACATTTATATGAGCATGAGTGGTTGGTACAGGACAGTGCAAAGTACTTTAAATGTTGATGCTTGGTTTATACCTTGAGGAGCAGTCTTGCAATCTCTGGTCCTCTCGCCTACAACTGCAAAGAAAGGGAATCGGCCTCCTTGGGCCCTAGCAGCGCTGGCGTTTTATGATTCTGTGATCTGAGTCTTGAATGAAATGCCTTCTGGTTGCTGTTGGAGATCCTGTCTGTAGCGACATGGAACTGACTCCAACCAGTGCGTAGCCCATTTTGGAAAACAGAGCTTGAATACGAAAGCTGGTCATTCTAACTCGAACTTTCTTTTCTCTCCCCCAGTTTGCTGTTTTGTGGTTCACAAGAGGTGCCATGAATTCGTTACGTTCTCTTGTCCGGGTGCGGATAAGGGACCCGACACTGATGTAAGTAACCTGGGGACTGCTGCTGGAGGGCAGTGCGGATTTCTGGGTTAAATTGTTCTAACGCCTGTGCAGCTGCTGTTGGGGCCCCTGCTACCGATGGGAAGACTTATCAGTTAGCCTCGTCCTGTTGGGCTTGTGATGGTGAACAGATGTGTAGCAGTCCTTCTGAGCCCTGCAGGACCTCTTAGGGATCAGAGGAGAATTTCTGCCCGGCTGGTCCTCCCCAGTCCTCCCCTCTCGGCAGCCACGTGGACTGACTCCAGCTAGAGTGTAGGAAGCACTTTCCTGAACACGTGCGGTTCTTTCCCGGAGATGCTGACACGCTGTGCAGTCACCGTGAGGCACCCTGCAGTTTATTAACTGACGGTCTATCATTGCTCATGGCCAGAGTCACCAAGTATTTCTAGTTCGCTTCGTGAGATCCTTGCTGCCTTTTCATTATAAATGCCCAAGTTGACTTAAACACGTGAACGTCTGTTTCCCTGAGCAGATGGTCTCCGACGCTGCTGTGGGTGAACACGTAGCTTTGTTGATCTGCGCTGTGACTCGCCTGTCTCTCTGGAGCACCTCTGCTCAGCGCTTGGGTGCCCAACAAGAGGGTCCGCCCAGGAGAAGAGGGGCTTGGGGGCATGGGGAGTACTGGCATCGAAAGTACAGGGTGGGGCAGCAGTAGGTTTGCAGTTGTTCGTATGGAAAGTAACGCAGTAATGAATAAATAATAATACAGGAGTAAGCTCTGTGGTTCACCGACGCATCGCGGTAAGCCTACTTTTGCCCCACCCTGTATCCAGCAGGAAGAAACTTGGGTTGTTCCATGGAAAATAATATTTAAAAAAATTTTTTTCTTCTTAATTGATTTTTAGAGAGAGAGGAAGGGATAGAGAGAGATATATAGGAACATTAATGAGAAAGAACATTGGCCGCCTCCTGCATGCCCCCTACCAGTGATTTGGCTCACAACTTGGTCATGTGCCCTGACCGGGTGTCGAACTGACGACTTTTTGTTACGTGGGTCGACATTCAACCACTGAGCCACACGGGCCGGGTGGAAAGTAATACACACACACACACACACACACACACACACTTTTTTGGTGTCCTTACCCGGGGACATTTTTGCATTTATCTTCAACTAGAGCCGGAGGGAGAAACATCAATGTGAGAGAGACACACCGACTGCCTGCCACCCACACAACCCCAACCGGGGTGGGGACAAACCACAACCTAGGTACATGCCCTTAGCGGGAACCGAACCCGGGCTTCTGGTCTGCAGGCTGACACTCTAACCGCTGAGCCAAATCGGCCAGGGCGGAAAGTAATATATATATATTTTTTTATCCTCACCCGAGGACATTTTTCCTTTTTTTTTTTTGTTCAGGTAGAGTGGGAGGAAGAGAGAGAGAGACATCGATGTGAAAGGGACACATCGAGTGGCTGCCACCCACATGACCAACCAGGGCTGGGGACAAACTGCAACCAAGGCACGTGCCCTTAGCGGGAACCGAACCCGGGTCTCTCTGGACCACAGGCCAATGCTCTAACCGCTGAGCCAAACCGGCCAGAGCAGTAATATTTTTAAGTGAAAAAAAAAACAGTTTGTGTGGGAGGTCTGCAAAGTAGGGCTTTCTATTCTGAATGCTTTCGCCGGACCACTGACACTTACATTATGTGCTCCGAGGGATTCGTTCCCACCTTCAGCCTCGTTCCCATCAGGACACGCTGGCCTCCCGATGGCTTGTGCCCGGCGCAGGGCTGGGTTCTCCCCTTCTGAGAAGACGGCGTGTCCACGGGAGCAGTTCCACTCTGCGTTTTTAACACGTGTAACGAAGGAACTACTGGGCCCTCAGCACGTGGCCACATGCTGCTGCTCGGGGAAGATGGGGCAGCACAGAGGGGGGCCTGGCTCTGAGCCACTCCCGCCCCACAAAGACTCAGAATGTGGGAGCCAGGGGGGACCTTGGAGGTGATCTTGTTTTATCTCCTCGTGGACCTGGAACCCAGTCCAGGAGGGCTGAGGGATTCGCCTACACACACAAAAACTAGGCGGTGTGTCTGTGCCCCCCCCCCCCCAGGGCGTTTCTGGCTCCAGGAAGTAGTCCTTTCGCCTCCTGGCTCATTCTCCTCAACTCCACCCTCCCCCTGAGCTGTGCTCATTTCTCTTCTGTCCCCTCTCATTTCGGCCCCAGCAAGAATGGGCAGGGGCGGGATGGTGAGCTGCCCCCGGTACAGCCCATTGTGCAGGCTTGTGATACATAAAGTCGTCCTGCGCCACACACACCTTTCCGTGGCTGCAGAACCTCATCGAAGGTCCTTCACGCCAAGGACGACACTTGTTCCCTGGAAGAGAAGGCACCGTCTGGTGAATCAGGACTCGCGGGTGCTTTTCAAACTCTCGTGCACCTCCCTTCACGAGTTAGAATTTCAGCTCACCAGCTTCTGTCCTTCAGTCTGGAGCGCCTCCCCGTTCTTAGAATAATCTCCCTTCCGCTTAAAATACGTCTGTTCATGAAGCCCACCCTGCTAGAGGGAAGACAGGGTGCGTGGGTCCTTCCGGTACCTGTGCATGTGTACGTGTGGATGTAGATTGTTAGCACGTGGAGTCATTTTCTTCCATACTTCCTTTTCTCTGTGCCGTAGTGAGGAAGCTGCGAAGTGGCCCTTCCAGAGAGGCTACCAGTCTCAGGCCCGCTCTCAAAGCCGTGCTGTGCGGGTCCGCACGCACAGACACACCCACCCACACGCACACCCCTTTCTATCTGTAAAGTTGTAGAGAGAAGTTCACATGTGACATGTATACAATGACAGATGCTAAACAGCTCTTTCGACATTATCTTCGGCACGCTTCCTCTGCACGTTGGACATGCGGACGTTTGGAAAGTGTTTGCGAGGCTTGAAGCACCTGGAGGTAGCGAGCTGCCCTTGCGTTTCATGCTTAGTCACGTTTTAATTTTTATTGTTGTTTCGCCTGGTACATTTCACCAGTGCCCCTGGCCCGTCTGGGGAGAAACTCCTCATGTAGGACCTTTTACCTCTCGTGTCTGAGCCATTCTTTGGACAGAATTCAGGTGATTTAAAACGGCGTCCTGGGTCATCAGAGCCTCCCCTGGGGGACAGCGGCATCCATACAGGTGGGGTCGCACGTGAGCTAGCACCTGCCAGAATACGGGCACGAACAAGGTCATTACACTGGTTAAAAGGCGGGAAGCTTGCTTCTGATGCGGGAGAGCTTCAGGCCCATGAAGATCATACCACTGCGCTGCTGGAAGAGGCTGAGCGTATTGACTGTACACAGAACCAAACAGAACCCATTGAACAAATCGCCGCCACGCGAGAGCGAGGTCTGGTGGGGGCGGGGCCCCTGGAGGGCTGCGCGTCTCAAAGCAGGAATGCCGTCCTTGGGCCAGTCTTGGGAACTCTGCTCTAGGCTGCTAAACTGTCCGAAATTCAACATTTCAAAAATTCAACACTTCAAGGCTTCACTCATAACAAAACTCAAAATATTTTTTAAAAATATATGGATATTAATTTAATTTCTTTTAATTTTTTCTTTATTGATTTGAGAGAGCGAGGAAGGGAGAGGGAGAGAGAAGCATTGATGAGAGAGAACATCGACTGGCCGCCTCCTGCATGCCCCCCACTGGGGATCGGGCCCACAACTTGGGCATGTGCCCTGACTGGGAATTGAACCTCTTGGTGCAGGGTCGATGCTCAACCGCTGAGCCACACCGCCGGGCACCAATTTCCTGTTTCCTCAAAGTGGCTTTTACATTTACTATGGAAATAAGACACTTTTGTGAGCAAGCCCAGTTATACCCCAAACATTTTTATATTCTTGAACTTACAAAGTAAAATGAGATTTGTAAAAGGTGCAGGTGCTAAAAAGAAAAAAAAAAAAAAGTGGCATCTAAAATGCAGCAGAGGGAGGTTGGAGGGTCCTGGAGTGGGAACTGGGTATCCTGCCCAACCTGTTCGTTCACTGAAAACCTACTAGACCGTGGTAGTCTTTTTTTTATAAATAGGACGGGTGAACTTAGTGGTCTTCCAAGTTCTCATTCCCTCAATTCCATCCCATCACTAAATGTCTATTAGGGACGTCATGCTGGGAAGATGTGAGGGTGAAGACAGCTTCATCCCTGCCCTCCCAGCATGAGGAGGAGCCAAGCATGCACATAGTTGCACTGTACGGTTGCATGTGATAGCTGCCTGCATGGTGAAGACATAAAATGCTGCTGAGTTTAGGTGGAGGGGGAGAGGGCATCTAATGGGAGAATGCAGGAAGGCTTCCTGAAGGTGGTGGCATTTTAAGATGGATTGTGGTTCTTTTCAGAAATTTCTCTTACAAACACCCCGCTGTTTTTATGTCTGCCCTGCTGGCTTACGGGAGTTACACCTCCTGCCAGGTGCTGCTTTCCAGCGGCACACAAACTCAGGTGACGTATCTTTGCAAGAAGCCCAGTAAGTAGAACATCTGCAGGAGAAACCGGAGACTTCTGCACATCCTGGCGGGCTCACCCCCAGGTACAGCTCTGAGGATGCCCTCACCAGGTTCTGAAACCACCCCTGCACTCGCCCACAGATGCCATTCCTCACGTGCTAAAGTGCCGTGGGAAACCTTGAAAACAGGTTATTTCAGGGAAATAAACCTAACATTTCCTGGGCTAATTCTGAGCCTCGGTGGGTGGATTCTTTTATGTACCAGATGCACCGCAACAGAAGCATTTCCTACAAGGGAAGGGACTCCTGCTACTTTTGCGCCAAATTAATTTAGCTGGGAATTAAAAATAGCCCCAAAGATTTGTCCCCTGGTCTGCAGTTCCGGTGATGAACTTCGGGGGACAGAGCTGGGCCTAGGAATGTCCATTCTCTCCCCCTCCCAAGCTTCGGCCAGTGAGAAGAGGGGTGTTTGTGCTTGATGACAGGACGCCTCATATTTTAGCCAAAGGCCTGTTTTCAGGGGACCCTGGGGGCCTTTCAGCATAGTCCAACAGTTTACGTTGTCA